TTATGTTATGTTATGTTATGTTGTATTATTGTTATATTGTACTTATTATGGTGTATTGTATGATATGATGTTTTATTCTGCTATGTTATATTACTATTCTTCTTCTACTGTATTTCATTAATTCAGAATACTTTAACTTATGTTTTCCAATAGTATTTATATACATATATTGTATTGTTCTTTATTTTTTGTTTTCGTTATATATTGTACTATTTAATTTCTATCTTGTATTTTATTGTATTATATTATATTACTTTACAGGACGTTATATACTGTACATATGCACATGTACAAGCTTGCATGTAGACAGGCCCTCAGTAAGACCAACCTCGTATTCGTAGTGAGGGCTGTTTGGAATAAGGTGGTGGCTTGCAATGAAAGGCGAGCTCCATGCAATTAGATGGCATATGTGCAACACAAAGCTGCAAGGTCTCACAACAGTTCATGACAATTCGCACGTGTGTTATGGGAAGATATGGGAAGATCGATACGCACACGTGGTGCCTTAGTGATGATAGACAATCTATCATGTGGGTTGTAGGGTTAGCCTCGGGTGTACATCCAGACCGCCTGATTGTTTCGGATCCTTCCTGCTTGCTCCTTTCTCAAGTCGTTTTGCAGAAGGTCTTCTTGGGAAGTGTTTGTTCTCGGGGTGGTTAGTTTCCTGCTTTCGTCGGGCAGATGGCCTATGTAGGTTTTCATTAAGTGTAGGCATTGCCTGCCACACATGGTGGAGGCTCGACACAGCCAAGCTCGTCCGAGTCCAGAGGCCTGACGGGAGACAGTGATATGGAAACATCCATGGCATCACACTGCCTGCCTGCAAGGCTCTCCATCCGCTGACTGAGAACGGACAAGAAGCCGGCAACACCCCCACTGACTTTTGAGTTTCTCGAGCTTTTCTGCTGGGTTGTCTGTCTAGGTCCAACTCCAGCTGAGAGTGGACCAGAAACGAGACAGGAAGAGGAGCCGGTCAGAGAGACCTGTACTGGCTGAGCTGTGTCAAGACTCATGTGCGATGGCTCAGTCGGCTCCATCCTTAAGAAGCCACGTCGGAGGCGGGCGAGACGGGCGTTGAAGGAACGGACACCGGTGCCTGGCTTACGCCTGCTCGTGGCGGCTTCTTCGGATTAATTAGCCCCACATGCCGTGCACCATGAGGTAACTCCAAAACGGCTTCCAAAGCAAAGGTGCGAATGAGTCACCGACTTGGCTCGCATCATGTTGCGGCATGTAACCGAATCGAAACTTGCAATGGTTGTGGTAGCTGCTGTGATGTGTCGCACTGCAGTGAAGGTACGGCCATCTCGCGAGTTCTGAAAGGTCCACAGGAAGGGAAGCAGCAGACGTCACAGACCCTAAGGCCGGGTTTCCGTGGATACGGTGATATGGGGTTTGGTGTGATACTGCGTGGCCTGCCCACTTGTTTGCAGGTTGCGGAAGCAGCTGAATCAGGCGGAGCGGAGCTTGCAACATCTCGGCAAAAAGCTTTTTGGACGCCCATGTTTACTTGATCCTGCCAGAAAACATTTGCTGCTGACCACTACACGGCCGACGAGGCCAGCGGCATGTTGCAACTTCCCGTATTGCCGCAAACTCACGACATGTTTCTCGGTCCAGGACCCCGAAAGAGAGCCAGCATGGTTCGATCGGCAGCGGCTGGTTCTGGTGGCGCCAACCCCGGACGATGCGCAGTGCTGCGTTGATTGCCGAGATCGATGCCTGCAGGGCAAGCAAAGTAATTCCAGAAAGGGCCATGAGCCGTTAAAACGCCCTTGGATGATTCTGGCTGTTGAAGTGTTCGGGCATATTCCGGCCTTGGTCGGAGTTGTTCTTCATGCCTGCATTTCGGATTCCGTCTGAGAGGGCGGTGGGTCCGAAAGTCCGTGGTGACACCTAGTTCAGTTTTCATTCGCCATTATTTCCCGAGAGCCACATCTGCACCGAAGTTGATATGGACGGTGGATCCATGTTGTGTGCAAGCTTTAGGTTGGCGCAGAACCTTTGCATCCACCTTTTGGATTCGGCGTACGCCTGAGGTGACGCATCCTCTCTTTGACGCTTTGACTGCTTTGGTCATTCTGCTGAATGCGGCGAGCATCGGCGCTGAAACGTGGCATGCTGCATTCAGCCGACCTAGTTGGTTTTGTGGTGGATGTAGGCGCAGCCGACCTGCAGGCAATATGCAGCTATGGATGTGGGGCTGCCTGCTGGCCCCTCCACTTCATTCCTTGCAGGGCCTTCGGCTTCGGGGACTGGTTTTGTGCTGAGGTGTAGAGCTGGTGAGCCAGCTTTGCACCGCCTATTTCATTGTCGCACCTCGCCATGTCATTGGACCGGGATCTCGAGTGAGTACATGGTCGCACCCAAAAAGAAGCAGCTGCAAGCTGTTTCTGCATTTCCTGCAAGCGGCTCTGAACAGCTAAGGAGCTGACTTTGCGGATCGGGGCGCACCAGGCCCCGCTCATGCCGCCATCTGGCACCTTCCTGGCCGGCTCCCTTCCTTGTGTGCCAGCTGCATGCTCTCATCGCATGTCCGGGCAGGCCAGCTGGTTTACCGATTTGGATATGCGATTATGGAAACCGTGCTGCAGTCAAGTCAGCTCCCTGTTTGTTCTAGGCACCTCAGCAAGCAAGAGGTCTGCTTGTTTCGATGGGGATCCGAGGAATTTCTTCGACCTCGTGCTTGTCGCAATGTCAGTCATTGACATCGTTGTTGTGAGACGCTTGCCGAAGAGATGGCTTTGGGTGTGCCTGTGTGCGTTTCCGGGACCCTGCCACAAGGAGCCATGGGCGCCGGCGCTAATGGTTTCGACACGGTGAAGATGTTGAAGACCCTCCGCATTATTCGAATCTCGGTACGAGTGGTTGAGAAAATCTGTACCGGTGCGAGCCGTCTCGTTTCCAGTCATGCTCTCGTG